CTAATTTGGAGCACCTGAAGCACTTCCCACTCCCTTCCTCTCCGCCCCACCCCCCCAACCACCTTCTCTCATCAATCAGGGGCTGAGTAGCAGGGAAGCAGCATATGGAGCAAAAGGCCAGCTTGGTCAGACCCTAAGAGTGTTTTTCTATCCCTGCTGAAGAACGGAAGGGCCCGGACCTTTGCAATCAACACATCCTATGGTCAGGGCTGGCGTGAGTACAAGATGCAACCGCAGTTGCAAAACTAGTGGACATGACCAGACAGGTCAATGGTCCCTCTGCCTTGAGGGCATGCACCTGTCCTCGAGTAATTTCCATCCTGGATGGTTGAACTCAGAGGTGCCTTCGGCAGCACAGATACCTGTGATTGTCTCCAGCATTCCCATAATTCAGACTAATTGGAAGAGCATTCCCTCCCACCCTTCCCCATTTTCCCAGCAGTCAGAAGACTGAAAGCTTTTACCTCACACAGTCAGTGAGAAATGGGGAAAAAAAACCCCAAAATCAAAACCCCCAAGTTTTATAGTCTTTCTTGAATCATACCTGCGTTTACTGATAGGGGCTCCTGGCTAGCTTCCTTCCAGCTGGATTTCCTTTAAAGACCCAAAATAGTTCAACACAGTCTATAAAGTTGAACAAAGATCTTCCCACTATCCTGTCAGGCTCAAGTGACAATTTTCTTCCCAGAGAGTTTTCCCTAGAGGGTACTGAAGGAAAACCAGCACAAACAGAACTCTTAAAATCTCTTTCGGATCCATGGTGCACTGTTCCTTGCAGTTTTAGCGGATAAAACTCTTTTCATCATATGGCTCTCCTGGAACCTTCCCTCCCTAAAAGCTTGGCCTGAGAATGGGGCTGGGGAGACGGTAGAGGCAGATAAACAAGATTTGCTGGAACAAAAAAGCCAAAACATCGCTGACTTAAATCTTAGGAGTTACACTTTGTAAAAGCAATTCAGATGCACTTTGTACATGGAGTAGTGGTGGAAATAGTTTCTTGGAGATAGAACTGGAGCATAGAAAGTGAACATCGATGCCAGAATCTTAAATTGGATATTACTCGATTTTCCTCCCCTTAGGGTTTGTTTTCTGCATGCTTTTGTTTTTATAGTTTATAGTTCGGGCAACCATATGTCCTAATTTTCCTAGGACGATCCTTGTTTCCACCTGTTATCCTGATGAAATTTTCAAAAGGGCCTTCTTCCACTTTCAAAATATTCCAATTTGCACAATAAGCTCTAGGGTCACCCTGTTTGCTGTGAGCTTCCCAATGACCATTTGTCCAATCTCCCAACCTCGAGATGCTAGGCAGCGTGGATCAGCTGCTCTTTGAAAGTTTATGTTAACGTTATGAGAGAAAAGGTAGCATTTCGAGTCTCATTTTTCATCTCTGTCACCCTTTCCCCACATTTAGGGCAAAAAGTGATCTAGAAGCCATGTGTTTGTTGGAAAGAGTGCAGAACTTGGAATGATACGGGCTTGGCTTTTAAACCCCCTGCTGACACTTACTCTTAACTTTGGTTGAGTAAATTTAGCTCTAATTGTACCTCATTGTCTTTGTCTAAAAGATGAAATTATATGAAAGATACATTTATTTATTTTTAGAGAGAGAGAGTGTAAGGGGGTGTGGTGCGGGAGGGGCAGAGGGAGAGAGAATGTTAAGCAGGCTCCATGCTCAGCACAGAGCCCCAAGCGAGGCTCGATCTCACGATCATGACCTGAGCACAAATCAAGAGTCAGACACTTAACTGACTGAGCCACCCAGGTGCCCCTGAAAGAATTATATAAAGATGCCATCCTTTTGGAACCAGCATAGTGGCTGGGAATGGCAGCTCGAGCAGGCTGCAAGAGTTACGGCAGTGGATGCAGGTGGGGAGCCTCAGGGTAGCAGAAGAAAGGCTCTAGATTTGGGTCAGGTGATCGCTGGTTAAGCATTTCCTATGTAACCAAATACTATGTAACCTTGGAGGAGCACGCCAGTTTCCTTCCCTGAGTTTCATGTAGGTCTTGCCTAAATTGCAATTTCTTTCTTTTAATGGGAAAATGAAATAACGCTTATGAAGAACGTTTACAAACTATACAGGTTGTATGGACATCAAGTATCATTTCTTGGTTGCTCTTTTGATGCTGTTTTGGAGATCATTCCTATATGTTATAAGAAGATGGTTCATGTCATAGTCCAGGTGCTGGAAAGTACGCTATACTTGAGAATGAGGGTCCTGATTTCTGAAGCCCCACAGTCTGCTGGGAGTGAGCTGTGAGCTGAAGTTAATGGGTGAAGGCACGTAGAGGCAAACCAGTTGTCAATGAAAGAAACACCTGAATAATCCAAGTGGTTGGAGACCCAGTGTCCACTCTGTGTGGCTGACACAATTAATTGCTTACCCAAGAGTCACCTTCTCTTATTTTCTGCAAACATCCCCCTGATTTTAAGGTAGAAAAAGATCCTCCATCCCAGTGGAAGCTGGACCTGTTCTTAGTCCCAGGGATGAGCTATCGGATGTGGCAATCTCATCCCCTTCTGCCAATGATCGTCTTAGGAGTGAGCTCAAGTTCCAATTCTGGCCAATGAGGCATAAAGCGAGGTGTGGGAGATGGGGGGAGGTTTACTTCCAGCATAAAAAAACAGACCTTTTCTAGGAATAAGGCTTTCCCCCATTCCTATTCCCTGCCTTGACTTCATTGAAGAAGTTTGGTGGCTGCCATGCAATCAAGAGACTGCATGCATGAAGATGAGCAGCCAGAATGGTGAGGACAGTCCCACCATCATTGCTCAACTACTGATCAGCTCTGGAGTGTCTACCACTAGATCACTTACAGGAGATAATAAATATAGATGTATTGTCTGTTCTACTCTTAGACATAAAGCCAGAAGACTTCCTAAGTGACACATTCCTCTAAGTTAGAATTTGATAAGTGAATCCAAACAGTTTCATTTTTTCCCGTGTTTTCTTTCAACTGTCTCTGGTGATTAACAGTTTGGCTGAATATTTTGCTTGGGTCATGAAAAGAAGACAAAATATCAGCTGTAGATGAGACTCTCATTTCTTTTCTTTTTTTTTTTAATGTATTCCTACATATTTGCAAGGATAAATGTGGAAATTATAGGATAGTGAGAGGATGTTGTTTTCTAAAAGGAAAGGATTTTTCAGACTCCCAATCAGTGGATGCATAAAATTCTGCTGTGATGAAGCCATGAAATGTAACTCATTCAATTGGTCTGAACATTTCGAATTTGTATTTTTGGAGTCTGGCATCCTTTATGTCTTCAGACCACATAATCTGTGTATAAAAACTAAGAGTTAAAAATAATAAAAATAAGACTTGAAAAACCACATTGGGCTTCCTCGGCAGCAGCGGTTCCATTTTTATGTGTCAGAATTAATATTTCACACACACCAGCTCATTAAAAAAAGTAACCTTGGAACACAGTGTCAGGTGGAGATTTTTTTTTTAAGAGGTGCTGGAAATTATGCAGCCATAAAGAGCATTCCCACTAATTATCTTGGCACTCACGTTATGCTGACCAGTCTGTCACTGAGTTGGGGGTGGCAGAGCAGAGAACCCCCTCCATGATGTTTCATGCATTGCTCTGCTCCATTTTCTCTACAACTCATTTACTCAATGCACATATTTATGCAAGAGAGGGTAATGAGGTAGCCAAAGGTTAGAGGGGGTGCAAAGGGCTTGTGGATCATGAGAGCATTGGTAACTAGGGAGGCCAGGCTTGGGCTGTCTGAAATTGAAATTTGGGGCTAAATTAATAACTCAACCTGAGCACATGCAGTTTTACAGTAAGTCTGTCTCCTCTACGGTTGACACTACATAGTTTGACATAAAAGGATCTCTAGATATGATAGAAGAAATTAAGTCCAAGACTATTCCATTGAAAGTAGTTCCTTTTGGGGGGACAGGAGGCAAGCAGAAAGGGGTGGTGGGACACCCACTATTCAAACTTTCTCCAGGGGCGCCTGAGTGACTCAGTTGGTTAAGCGGCTGCCTTCCGCTCAGGTTATGTTCCCAGGGTCCTGGGATTGAACCCCACATGGGGATCCCCTCTCAGCAGGGGATCTGCTTCTCCCTCTCCCTCTGCCCCTGCTTGTACGCTCACTCTCAAATAAATAAATAAAATCTTTAAAAAAAACTTTCTCCAGAATGTACTTTTATATTTCGGTCTATAGCATGTATTTGCTTATGTGCAGTTTTAGACATCAACAATGATCTTGCACAGAATTATATGTGCAAACAAACGAGGCATCTGTTCTACAGTTAACTCCTCATTATTTCCTCCAAAGTCAGTGTCAGCTAGAGTCTAGGCAAAGCTCCGGAGCAGAGCAAGATGCTGATTGAATTCATTGGCTTTCCTTTTACTTTATTTCTTTGCATTTCAGGATGGGGAACATTGGGATAATTTCCCAAAGTCTGGTGAAAGATGTGGTGGGGTATTTACCTGTATTTTCAGTGTGAGTATGTTCAGGAGAATGCTCCCAGGGGCAGGGGGAAGTCAGAAAAAGCCAGAAAAGGATACCTGGGAGACATTATAGATTAGCCCCTGACGACAGTAGCTTCCAGCTATTCTGTAGAATGAAAAGCAGTCACGATTTGAGGTATCACCAAGACAGATTAGGACGAAAAAAGAATCCTACCTGTGTCCCGAACCATGTTTCCTTCCCAGTTTTGGATGATATTCTTGATTATGTTTCAAAATAGATGTAACCTCTTGAAAGCATCAAGAGAAAGACACTAACCAGCTGAAAGAAGAAAGGGGGTTGCTATAGGCTGGCCAACTAACATTCTCTGAACCATATAGTGTGGAAAGTCATGGCCAAAACATGGCTGACTAGCGGCTACAGTGGGGCTGGAAGTAGCGACTCAACCAAACTTGCAATTTCAAGTCCCCCAAAATTGGACAAACCAAAGGATTCTTTTGTATAAATGAAGAAGACAGGATTTCAGTGATCCTTTTAATGTCATCCAGGGACCACACTGGAACCGTGGTGTCATGATGGATGCTGCAGGGGGTTCTCACTTCCCAGCAGTTCCTCTTGAGCTGGGCTATGAGGTGAAGGAATGACAGGGTCTCCAAGCTCTGTTCCGGTGATCTGGTGTGATGGTACCATCTGATCATCTGTGACAGACCGATGATGAGGGCTGTCTCTGGCCACTGATAATGCAGAGATTGTGAGGTGGTCTGTGTACTTTTTCCGCAAGAGGTGCTCTGTGATTTCCTTTCTTCCGAGAATTGGTTCTCTCACCAGTCCAGGAGTGAAAGGCAAGACCTTTTCCTCTCCTTTAGCACAACCAAGAATAAAGGTGGTTAAAAACTCTTTTATTTAACTTAAAAAAAAGGTAGCTCTTAGCTAGGTGTTCCTTTCCCACTTCTTCTACAATTAGGCAGCCAGAAGCTGAAGGGAGGCATGCTAAGCTTTATAACCAGTGCCCCCTATAATTTGGCCCCACTTTCTACTCCCGATCTATTTTCCCACAACTCAAACCCTAAGTCAAACTGAACTGCATTTTTCTTTCCACAGATGCTCATATTCATGCTCTTCAAACCTCTGACAGTGGTCCCTTTTTCTAACTCTCTTTTTTACCATTAGGAAATTCTTTGGTCTCCAGTTTCACACAGGACCACAAGTACAACCTTAACTTTCCGTGGCCAAATCTCCAAACCCTATGCCCAGGCTCATCTTCTGTGGCTTTCCTATTTTTTTTTTTTTAATCTAAGGTCCTCCATGTTCTCCAAAGACCATCCCCTCTGGCCTTTTATGGGATATAAATTACTGGTTATTTGTTCTTTCACTTATATCTTAACTTCATCTCCTAGATCCCTGCTACCAGGACTAGAACATACTCACAGGTCATCCATTGTAAAAATACCCTCCCTCAATCCCACTCTCCTGATGCTAAAGACATTTCTCTTACCTATAGTATATAGTACCTTTACAGTTATAGGCATATAATAATTATATAATTCGCTATATAATGTTTTTCTTTCCTCTTGACCAAAGTGCTACGGAGCAAGGACTGAGCTTGTTTAACTTATTCCTGAGTATCTTGTACCTAGCACAGTGTCTTAGCCATAGTAAGAAGGTATTCAATAAGTTTTCAATGACTGATTAATTAGTAAGTGAATGAAGGAACGTATGAATAACGTTCTTCCTTTGACTCTGCTCATATTGTTCCTCCCCTGTATTGGAATGCTCTTCCCTGTCACCTCTTTTCCTTTCTTCCTTTTTTTAAAGATTTAGTTATTTATTTTATATAGAGAGAGAGCATGAGTGCACGAGTGGGGAGGGAGGGGCAGAGGGAGAAGGAGAGAGAGAGAATCTCAGCAGACTCCCCACTGAACAGAGCCCCACGTAGGGTTCGATCTCATGACCCTGAGATCATGACCTGAGCTGAAATCAAAAGTCAGACGCATAACCGACTGAGCCACCCAGGTGCCCCATCCCCTCTTTTTCTTATCAAAATCCTGCATATTATCAGTTGGCGATCAAATGAATTGTATCATATTGCCCACCTTCTCCCACAGCAGCAGGATCCCCTGATGTCTCCAAGTTGCCTTCTTAAAATGCTCATTATTAGAAATTTCTGGTATCTTACACTCTCGTAACGTGTATGCATGACTCTTCAGTAAGATACTGAATACTTATTGAAGATAGGTTCCAATACAGTGGCATCATGTATCCCCCACCAGAACACAGCTTTGTACAGGGAAAGGGCTCAATAAGAGCTAAGCTAATCAAATCATTCATTTGTTCATTCACTCAACTATTTATTGAGCTCCCATTAAGACCCAGGTAAATGTGCCAGAAATAAAATGATGTATAAGACATAGTCTCTGTCTTTACAAAACTTATGGTAGGAGAGACAGAAGAATTAACAGGAAATTGTGTTAATGTGGTAGATATTAACGGTAAGGAGAACTGTGAAAAGGGGCACATAGGGCAGCTTGTTGGATTCAGAGGAGGCTTATCAGAGAAAGGGATACCTGAGTTGAGTCCTAAAAGATGAGCAGAAATTGGTCTAGGCTCAGGGAGCAGGAGGAGAAGCATGTGAAAAGCTTCGAAGGTGAGCGGGAGAATGGAGAACTCAGGGAACAAAAGGTCTGGTGTGGTAGTCACTAGCAGGGCAGGTAGAGGGGAAAACTGGAGCTACATCTTCAACAGCTTTATTTAAAGACAAAAGGAAACCTCTGAATTGGAGAATTACATGACTGGTGTTGTGTGTTAGGAAGGTCTCTCTGGCTGTCGCGCATGTGCGTGGGCACACACACACACGCACACAATGAGGACTTCCTCTGTAGAACATGGAAGTTAAACTCCCTCATCTTTGATTTTTCTCTCTCTATGTATACATTTTCTGGGATTTACCATTTGCCCCCGAGGTAGAGTGTATTGTGCATCTTGTCCTTTGGTCAATTTTTTTCTGTGAGACTTTAATAGTCTTTTCAGGTTGTTCAGAATTAATGAAGCAAATGTCCTCAATCAAGAAGCAATTTAAGAACATGCTGCTAATTTCAATGAGTTCTGTAAATGAACTAATTTAATACCAGTTGACCTTTTTAAGGAGAATGATTTGTGGCTGTTTTCCTGATTTGTGCCTATAAGTCTTGGCGCTCTGAATGGGCATTTTGAGCCCAGAGGTAAACATTAATCATGGTTCCAGGATGGTGCACTTCTAAGCAGAGTATGGAATATTCACCTCAGTGAGGAAGTGGAGGGTGTCTTTTAAGAGGAAGTTCTTACCATGTTTATAAAAACCAAGGGCCATAGAATAAAGAATACTATACTTCTCTGGTGATATAGACCAGGCAGAAAGATGCTGAATATGTTATGAGATTTTAACCATGTCCTACAGATTTTGCTACTCTATTCTTTTTTATATTTTCACCTCTTTGGACCTGGGGTGGTACCAATTCCGTTTTAAAAAAACTTCGTTATTAACGTAAAAGAAAATCTTACCTCCTGAATAAACTCGATGCACACTAAATGATACTTTCGTGATCTTGCCATTGCTTCTGCCTTTACTAGGACTCATATTTCTGTAGCATTTCCTCTAAGTAAAGGACTCATATTTCTGTAGCATTTCCTCTAAGATCAAGCTATCAGTAGGAATGTGTCTTTTACTGATGACTTGATGTGAAAGGTTTTGCCTTAAACCAGCAAATCTACAGGTCTACAAACGATAAGAAGATTTGACAATGCCATCATACCAGTAAAAGGATAAAATATTGTTTCTACCACTGAAGCAGTTTCCACTTAATGGGAAAGTATTGTTCTAAGTATGGTTTAGCATTGTTGAATCAAGGCTGAATCAGCAGGTTTCCAGTGCCTGGTAAACTCAATCTTCTTTGAAAACCAAGGGAAAGGAAAATTGAACTGATAAAATCAGGATAGGGTAGAATTTCTTTTAAAAGTGGCAAAAAGCACTAACCATAAAGGAAATTGATTAATAAAATGACTACATTAGAATCAAGAACTTCTTTTCATAAAAAAAGATAGTATGAACAGAGAAAAAAGACAAGGCACAGAGTGGGGAAAGATATTTGCTACACATATAATGCCAAAGGGCTTGTATTAAGTATAAAAATAGAGCTCTTACAATCCTGTAGAAAAATGGCTAAAATTCTTGAATAAGTATTTTGGGAAAGAGGAAATCTGATGGTCAATGAATATTTGAAAAGGAGCTCAAATCCTTTAGCAATCAAGGCCATGAAAATTAAATTATTAGATGTCATTATATGCCCTTCAAATTGGCAAAAATGAACAAATTGAACAATCCACCGTGGTTGGCCCAGACCAAGAAAAACAGGAACTCTCCCATACTGCTGGTAGGAGCAAATTTATTAAGACTACAATGAAAAACAAGTTGGCATTACCCAGAAAAGCTGAAGGTGCGTGTCCCCTGTGACTCAGTATTTCTATTCTAAAGTAAGAAAGTCACACATATGTGTGCTCACAGGTTGTTTCACTTAAAAAAAATCTGGAAGAGAGTTTGTTTTGTTTTGTTTTGTTTCATTTGGATGTGAGAGAGACTCTGGATCAAATATAGGGTGATAGAGACTTAGGGAGTAAATAAAGGAACATTTGCACAAAAAAAATAGGAAAGAGGGAAGGGAGGGAGGGAGGGAGGGAGGAAGGGAGGAAAGTTTTTTTGAGGTTCTTTGCAAAATGAATTCTTGAAGAAACTGAAAAATGTTTCAATTTTGATGCTCCACAAGCCAGATAATTTTCAGTAACTAGGAAGAAGAAACCATTTCTTAAATTAGATGCTATGGTCTTACAAGCTAACATTGCCCAGAAATGTGAGAAAGAATACAGGGAGCCCTCATTCATCTTGGATTATGAGAAAAGAAAAGCCCAAACCAACACTTAGGGAAAGTGAGGTTGTCCAGGATTACAATACCTGTAGATGGTAAAACTGACATTCAGATGTAGGTCCATGGTTCCTAAATAAAACATACAGGTGTACTCAAATTTTCCTCCTTTGAGCTATATGACAAACCCATTTGTGAAAGAGAAACTTAGCTGGAACACCTTAAAACCCAGCCCCTACCCCCCAAAAAAGTAAGAAAAATGTCTTTTCTTATTACTTGTGGAAGTAAGGGCTCTTAGGCTTCACCACTCCTACCTTCTCTGTTGAGTGCCGTAGGGGGCAGGCGCTGTTTTTGCCTGTGGAGAATCAGGAAAACGCATGAGCAGCGGGTTTGGCCTTCTCTCCCCTTTCTATGATTCTGTGATTCTTGCTTTTGTTGTATCATCCCTGTGCTTCTTCAGGTGGAGCAGAAACCCAGGAGGAATTCGTCATTGGCAGGCTGAGTAGCTTATCTTCAGGAATTAGGGATACTTACTGAGGTGTATAGGCAGGTCAATATAAAAGTCTCTTGAGCTTTTAAGGATAGGGATATATGTAGGTATATCCCTATCCCATATGATATAGGATATCAGATCTTCTGGGTTAGTTTTTACTAGTTCCTTTAGTTTCTTCTAGAACCTACATGCGTGTTATATGCTGTGGAGCTCCAGCAAAAGCCTCTATTTGGCCATGGCCCACTGACGTGAGGCTGGAACCCAGAACCCCTGGTGGGGAATGACTCCTGTCTCAGTCAGTTGGTGACATCGTATCCACAACTGTGTCAAACACTCAGAAGAAAAACATTTTTTTTCTTGATTTAATGTCAACAAGTTTATTGAACACACCAAGCTTCTTTGTTTACCCATATTTTCTGATCCTAAACTGGTTCAAAACATGGCGCTTTGTCAGGAAAGATGTCCCTGCCCTTTGGAAGCACTCGAATAAGGAGGTAACCATGACATTTTTGGTACTATGCTATGCAGGCATATACAGAAAGTGAAGGTCTTTGCAAGCTGGAAGCCAGCTTTGGGGGAGATGCAAAATTTACACGTTGAGCACTAATTCAATGCCAACAAATTTTTCCCCCTTCTTTTTTTTTTTTGAAGGTAGTATACATTTTTACTAAATGGTTAAAAAGAAATTAAGTAATTATCCAAATGATTTCTAGATTCCGTGTGTCATTTTTTTCATACTTTCACTATTGTTTTTCCCAAATTATCTCCTTTCAGCATTCCCATGAATGTAGTTGACATGTTTTCAAATCCTTGAGTGATGTATTCATGGTACTGGATTTTACCCTCTACGACCCATTTCAGCAAGTCTTTCAGAGCCTTCTGGCGGGCCTCTCCTTGCCAGTGGGTGACGATGAACCCTTCCATGAGGAGATGCTGATAGATAGTATTTTCTGGGGGTGGGCCTGGGGGAAGAGGGCAAGTACTATTATATGTAGAGATGGCCCCACATATAGCAATTCTTCCAAATTTCTTCATCTGGGGGATAACAATGTTTGAAAACTCTCCACCTACATTATCGAAGTAATAATCATAACCATCAGTAGAGGCTTTTTTCAAAGTTTCTTCCAAAGACTCTACTGTTTTGTAGTTAAAGGCAACAACATCACGTCCAAGCTTTTTGAGGTAGGCAACCTTTTCGTCAGAGCCCACTTCTCCTGCTGCTGCATTAACCATCACTGTTTCTCCATCCTTCACACCACAGATGTCAAGTAGGCCAAAGTAGGCTGTCATGCCCATTGTTCCCAGAGCCAAAGACACCGGTACCATGTCTGGCCACTCTGTGGGTAGCTTTTCCAGATCTTTCCCATCAGAAATAGAGTGTGTCGTCCAGCCTGAAAAAGCCACTACCACAGTTCCTGCTGGGAAGGCTGAGTTTTTACTTTCCACAACTCTGGCCACTTGCTGCCCAATCATCATATCACCCTCCTTCAATCTTTTGGCCGCCCGCCACTCTCATATAAGGATCCACAGTAAGGAACAAAGCTTCCAGCAGGACCTCCCCATTTTTTAAGGATGGGAGTTCAACTGTCTTTAACTCAAAGTTACTATGAGTAGGGCTGCCTTCAAAGAGCTTCTTCAGGGTCCAGCTCTTAGCATGAACCATCCTGAAGTTTCCGACCCCGCAGTTTCCACTACCTAGACAGAATGTGGTTGGGGTTGTCAATTTTTCCCCCTTCTTTTGGGTAATTCATCCATCCTTAAAGTAACACCCAATACTCAAACCAAAAGCAAAAACCATTATCAGTGACACAAAGTAGTTAGTGACATTATTTTAACTGCCTGATACAACTGTGGAAAGCATACTGAAGAAATCTAATGCATGCCGTTTATCAAGAAGTGTGTGCCAAGTGGGTTATTTGAAGACGCATTTTACCTCTTCAGTAGCATGGATGGAAATTTCAAGGGAAATTCATCTGGTCCGTCTGTCTTAATATGCTCTGTTTATCCATGTTGGGTCTGAACTACATAGCAACAGAAGTATCCCAGTTACTGGTGCTTTCCATCTTGAGCAAAGTATGACAAGTGCATATACTCCAGAGTTAGTACATCTAAAGAACAAAAAGCAAAGGGAGGGCATAGAGTATAAAGTAAAATGTATAAGGTATGTTTTATCCTGGGATCTTAATATATATTGCCTGAGGCCTGAGACTGATTTTCTTTTGAAAGGTAATTTTACAAAGAAGAGAGAAAATGACATTTTGGTGACTTTATTAATTAATATTTTATCCAGTTTTTACCTAGGTTTCCAAGGTCTGAGTGATTTCTACTCCTCCAGATTCATTTTTTTTCTTTCACTGACTTCTAGCGTAACTTGATTTCTATATATCTCATTGATCGCTATTAGTCAAATAGAGTAATATCCATTTTTCTATTTCCAGAGGAAATTGTTATGAATATCAATGATGAAATAGGATGACATCAATAAACTAATATGCTGAGCTCTTTAGGAAAAAAAACCTTTACAAGTAGTCTCCGCTTTTTCTATAGCTTTAAATTTTGCTGATATACTTATCTAAAAATGCTTACCACACACTTATATGTAGTATTTATCGCAGCGGTCTGAATATCTGTCACTTTTCTTTAATGTGGGGGACATGGGAAGTGAACACTTGGCGGTAGAAGGCCATCTGGTGTCGATGGGGAGTAACTACGGGTTTTCGTGGAAGCTTTTTCTACCTCATTCTGTTCTCTGGTGTTTTTTTTTTTTTTTTTTTCCCCCACAGAACAGTTCTTTTCTTTTTTTATTATGTTATGTTAATCGCCATACATTACATCATTAGTTTTTGATGTAGTGTTCCATGATTCATTGTCTCTGGTGTGTTTTGAGAAACACACTCCCCACATCCAATCAGGCTTTATAGGAGGCCCCTCATGATCTCTGCAAACTGGGAGCAGTTATGGTGCCTTTTGGGCATTGTTTTTACTATGTCTGATCTGATCTTTATAGGTTTTAAATTTGACTTCAGGATACATTTGAATTACTATTTAACTATGAACATGTTGGATAATTTGAGATTTTATAATATAGTGTGACAGTCCTGTATTAAGTTCTGACTCCGAAGACTCTAATACGTTGTTTCATTTTCCTACTGAGTCCAAGCAGGAATATTATGACCTCTGAGATTCATATAAAGCTCTCCTTCCACCCTGCTCTTGCCTGTGCCACTCTGCCCTTCTTAGGTTCATGGAGTCATAAGTGTGTCACTTGGGACGTAGGGCTCTTCCAACTTGTTTGGGCCTTCAGGATAAATGGAAGGCCTGCGTGCTTTAAAAAGAACAAAAGTGTCTAATTTTCTAGGAATAGAAACATGTAGATATGGACCTAAATGCAATAAGTGTGGGAGGCAAGTTGCGAGTGACAGTGCCATGGTTATATTATATTATATATAATCTGGTCAGTGTCGTAGACATAGAACAGATCAAAGTCATCCCTTACCCTTGGTGAAAAGCTTTAAAAACGGAAATTTCAGAAGTGATAACTGTGGAACTTATCATATTCAGTTGTTTGAAGAGAGAACAAATAGACTCATTCAGTTGCTTTCATCTCATCTCATTTGTTTGTTTATAAACCCAGAAGGACTCACTCAGGATGGATTTCTCTAAAGAAGCAACTTGGAACTTAAATGGACCTGAAATTAACATTGTTCTCTTTGGCAATTGCTTTCTCTTTCACAGTATAATGGATGATGTTGTCAATGATGCACTCAGTTTTGGGAAATAACTTTTGTCACCTCGCCTGTTCTTTTCCATGCTTTCTGTTTCGGGCTGATGAATGCTGAAAGGATAATGGAGATGCCTCGTGATAGGAGACTGGATTTGGGGGGGTATCTCCCTTTCTCCTTTCGCCTCCCGTGGAGAGTTCTGGAAACTGAGTGGATCAATCTCCAGTGGATAATATAAGATGTAGGGCAGACTAAAATTAGCAAGGATTGAAGGTCTGATCTCTTCCCTTTTGGACGATCTTGTTAAACTTCTTAATGCCTCAGATTTACCTGTGAAGCAGGAGATAAAATGGGAAGTGAGAATATAATAAGATAAATATATTTGAAAATTGTGGCTATTCTTTATGGGCTGGTGCTGCTAGAAGTGAAATGTTTTGCTATGAAAATGGATGGGATGCTTTCTGCCTTGCTGGAATGTCAGCCAGTGTAATTCATTAGTGGTTTGAAAAGTGCTTTGCGCTAATGGAATGAGAGGCACTGGAGAAATTTGAACTAATATTATTAAAAATGAAAAATTGCAACAGAGAAACTTATTTCCCCCAGAACATAGACATCAACATGGAGTCTAATATTGCCAAGAACACCAGTTTGAGAAGGGAAAACGCCAGTCACTCATCTGGACATTTTGTCTTACACGTTTCCAAATTACCGATTTGACTGTTTTTGTTTTCCCACTAAATTGTATAAATTCAGTTTTTCTCTGAGAGCCATTGAAATCGACACTGTGTGGTATAAATTCTTTGATTACACTACCTTGTTTTATTCTCCATAACTCTATCTTGACTTGTAAGGTCACATGTATTCTTCTCCCCCAATCCCCATACACGTACCCTTGAAAACCAAATTTCAAATCAGTGCACGTCCTCCTCTTTAGAGATGGTCGTATTCATCATATTGCTGTAGTAATTAAGACGGGACATCCTGAAGTCAGTGCAACAGATAGCAAGCATTTGTGCAGGTTTCTGAGAATATGAGGCACATTATTGCTTTGTTCACATGTACTTTTTCCCACAATAACGTTGAGTTGTGTATTAATGAACACAATTAGGGCTTTTTGATATGGTAAACCTCAGAAACTATTCATTATTCTGTTAACAGAACCTTGCTAATTTTCTTCTAAATTAATGTACTCCTGTGGAGATGTAGATTATGTTTTATAATGCAACACAGTTGGCTTTCACTTTCCTCCCTTTGTTTATTGATTTTGGTTTCTTTGTTCATGGCGTCATTCAGGTGAGTTGTAAATCAGAAGAACTTCCAGTCATCTTCAAGGGAAGAAACATGCTTCATCTAAATGATAATTTTTTATCACTGCCATTTCCCTTTTAATGTATCATCCAAACACAAAGACCAAAAAATTTAATAGTATGTATTTTAAAATGCACCCACTAAGGCCCTTTTTGCGATAGAAAAGAAGGTCCTAACTTCCTCCTTCCTTTGAAAATTATACTTCATGTCTCCTGTCAAGACTCTTACCACGACTCATATTTTGTCGTTACTTTGTAATGCAACCTAAAGTGCTGGCAGCAACCACCGAAAGTGAACATTAGTGAGTCTAGACATATATTATGCAGATGCTTCCAGCCTAATTACCAGATAACTCTGCATGGAGAATGGAAAGGAGCAAAGGTTAAGTGTCTGCTTTTCAGTAAATTTTAAAACCAGGATGAACTACTCTGAGCCTTCATGCAAGAGTGGGCTTGGCTCATGCTAATTCACAAATGTATGTGTTCACAACAATATTTTATTGTTATTTTATTATATTTCTCAGCTGCAGAGAGAAGAAGCTCTTTCTCCTTAATAGCCCTGAAAATCGGCACTGGAGTGAATTGAAGAAGTGAACAGCTGCTCTCGTTGTCCTTACAGCGGGCGATGAGGGCAGGCGTGGCAGGCATTGAATTGGCCCTTCTGAAAGATGTTTCCTTACTCTCATCTCTTTTGCATTAAAATTTTTTTTGTCATTTACACATTGGCCATTTTCTTTCCTTTTCTATTTCTTCTTGTCTTGTCTCTTTTCCACTGTCCCTCTTTCTCTCCTTTCCTTTCTTCCTCCCATCTTTTTCTCTTGGGTTGTGTGTATGTGTGTGTGGGGGGGGATACAACACAACAAAATTACCTACCACCTGAGTATCCACAGAAATGCAGAAGGTGAAAACTGCCAAGTTCAAGCCGTGCGAAACCTTTACCAGAATTTGCTCTGCACTGGTTTTCCAACAGCTAGATTTTGTGTGTGCTTATGTGTGTGCCCGGTCTATTTTAGACAGCTTTAATGTCCTGGGGTCTCCTACGCCTAATCAAATTGGAGTTCAGTCTAATAGAAAAGTCCACAGAGGATTAAGTTTAATGCACCATAATAGGTTACTAAGCTTTTGTTAGTGCACATTTTATACATGTGACTCTTAGGAAGGACCCAGAAAATTAGGTTTACAAGCGTCTTGGAATGTTTCCTTATGGCCTTTTGCATCCTTTCTTTTGTGTGGTGATCTCCAAAGAGACCATATGAATGTTGGAAATACCAAGTGAAGAGTCAGAGAAGGCAGGGAGTGAGAGAGACTTTGAAGCCTGGTGTCTTGAAACCGTTTCTTCGAGAGGCTGATGGTGAGATTAAATTGAATTGATTTACACAAAAATTGGATACAGGGCACCAAGTAAAATGTCAAATGCAAGGAAAGAATTACAAAATCTGCAAGCATGATAATTATGCAAAAGAATAATAATGGTTTTCACAGCGAGGGGCTAAGCATGTCTGACTTTAGCTTATTTACATCTGTGGCAGAAGAGAAATTAAGGACCAGTGAAGGAAGTGTGTCCCCTCATGCTCTAGCTGGTAACCAGAGAAACCACCAGATTTTTCCTGAGCAAAAAAGCCAACAGGCCAATAGGCTTACAGAAATACAATGATAACCTGCATGTGTTTAGAGTTTTACACTTTTCAGAGCAAATTCGCTTTCGTATTTTTAATTAACATTCCCAATTATTTTGAAATGCGGGTAATGTAGGTATCCCATTTCTACAGATGAGAGTATTAACACATGGCAAAATCACAGAAACAAGTGCAGTGGTTGTTTGCTTTGCTTTGTTTTTACTTTACTAATACAGCTTTGTTAGCTGTGTTATTCAACCCATGTTCATTTACTGTTCATGAACTTCAGACAGTGGGGGCCACTGAAGATTTCTAAATAGAGAAATATC